TTTTGTAAGAAAAAGACCATAAGCATGTAAAAGGACATGGCCCAGGCTGGGAAAAGGTGTTTGCACATTAGTCAGAAAAATTCAGTAAAAAAGAAACCCCAAAACTGTAAGATTGGCAAAAATTAAAAATTTTGATAGTATTAAGTTTAGTGGGGATGTGAGGAAACAGAAACTTAAACATTGCTTTACTATAAACAGATACAATTCCTTCACAGGGCAAATTGGCAGAGCTTGGAAAAACTGAAGAAAGCCTATACTCCAGCAAAATGCCCCCACATGTACACACAAATGAGACACGTCCATGGTTAGTACTGCAACATTGTCGTTTCATAGTGAAAGAATGGAAACCACTTACCTATCCATCAGTAGAGGGATAAATAAACAGTACTTTAGTCTTACAATAGGAGTTAAAATTCATATGGCACTAACAAAATCTACATGAATGAATTTCAAATACATAATGAAACTAGGTATGCACCACATGATACCACATAAGAAAAAAAAATTTTTTGCTCCCAAAAATCTTTCAACAATATGGTACACTTTTTTTCAAACTTTTTTAGGGTGACAATTTTCAAACACACAAAATTAAAATAGTATAATGAAACTCCTTGTACTCGTCACGTTGCTTCAGTAATTATCAGTATTTTTCCAATGGTATACATATTTAAATACCAAAATTAATGCTGAGGAAATGGCCATTGATTAGGGCCCATGAAAGAGCACTGGACAAGAAGAAAGGAGAGGTGGGTTCTACTGCATCTGCGGGCTCTGCCATCATGAGCTCTGTGGCTCTAGCACACTAATTTTCGCTGTGTGGTCTCCCCTCTGAATTGGAAGACTTCAGAATGGACTGATAAAACTTTTAGCACAAGAGGAAATAATCAAGACTAAACTATATAAAAGCCAAGAATAAAACAGATGCAACCTGACTTTCTAGCAGTTACAAATAGCAAAATCTAAAAGATACAAAACACCAAAACTCACAGGATCAAAAACCCTAAAACTGTACTCCCTATTCCTTAGCATTCATAAATAAATAATCCGAGGTCTCTTCTACCTCTATGGAAATACGATTTCACCCTCAGATATGTTCTTGGGGGAAATACTAACATAGCTGCCTCCCCTCTAAAAACCCACCTTCTCTTATCACTAAATCCAAAGTTTGCTTTAACACCAGTGTAGGAGGTGGCTTCTTGAGGGTTCTCTTTGCTCCTTTTGTCACCTCCCTCACTTCCATGGTGCTGCTGGCTTAGATAAGGAGGACCTTTATCCTGGCTCTGACACCCAAGTGCTGTAGAGCAGGAAAGGACTGGAAGAACTGGAGAATAAGAGCCAAATCAAGTTGTTTGAAAAGATGGACACATACCTCTTGAAACAGTGTGCTGCCGTAAGGATCCAGCAGCTACTCAGGAGCGTAGCCCCACAGAGGAGCCTGCCATCTCCATGGGATGACTTCAGCCGGAGGGAAACCTGCCAAGGCCAACCACCCCTAAGAAGAAAATGCCACACATCAACATCCATAAAAGGCAGAAAGCAAAGAAAAGCACCAGTTATAGCAATGACTTCAATGGCTTGCAGGAGGGGGCAAAGAAATACAAAAGAGACTCTAGGATGTAAGTTCCCTTTCTACTTTGAGAATGATGCTCCTACAACTCTGAGCAAACCATATATCAGCAACCCTGAAGATTTGCTTGTTGGCATTTGCATGCATCCCACCTATCTCTGACACTCTTGGAAACAAAGTTAGTCTTCTTCATATTTCATGATTTGAAGTGTAATTTCTCTCCTCACCCTACCTCACCTACGCAGCCCAAAGAAGTATTTAGTAAACAAAGTGCTGGTTTCCCATTAGTAAATTCAGCAAACAAAAATTTATATTAAAATAAATCAAGCCTGAAATAAATTAATTCTAAATTAGATGAATTTTCTAGTTAGACATTTTTTCAAGTCTCTCATAAAATTGTTTT